CAGAGCTTCCAGACAAAGAGTAGGAAGAAAGGCCTGGCTACCCAGTTCCAAAAATCCGCCAATGAAAACCTTACAGATCACAACAGAATGTTGTCCAATATAGTGCTGGTAAATGAGCTCAACATAGGGGCCACAACAATGGACTTGAGGATTCCACTGATCTTGAAGATTGCACAGGACCAGGCAGCATTTTGCCGTGAGTTGGAGCCAGCTTGACAGCAACTAGTAACTACAAAAACCAGCCAACTGTGACAGTGAACCACTCTGACCTCTGGAGGCCAGTGCCAGAAGACTCATTGATAGTGTAGCTTTGCTGTTGTTGTTAACTTTTATTGAATTGGTTCTGAGTCATAGCAACCCTGTATAGGCTTTCCAAGAAATGACTGGAGTGTTTGAACTGCCACCCTTGTGGTCAGCAGTCCAGTGCTTATCCTTGGGCCACACCAAGACTCTGTTATATCTTTAATAGGATCTTTAAACAGGTAGGATATGTTGTAGGTCACTAGTTTTTCATGTGTCTGCTGTTTACACCAGTATTTTGAAAATCATTAAGAGTGCTGAAAGAAAAGCTGCTTTGAGTTACATATGTTTTATTCTCTCTGGACCTTTGGGGAAAAACTGGAGATCAGTAGCCTAGTGATAACAATATTCTACAATTATAAAAGTTTTGAAAATCCAGAGGACATTTTGGTTTTGATAGGTGTTTTCTTTCTCTGTCTCAACATCATCTTAATTTTGTTATTAGATGATTATCCTAAGAATGAGAAGCAAAATGCTTTGAAATCCAGTATTCATTGTGGTATGGGAACTGCTGTCCTTATTTAACCTTTTTCTCTCTTCCCTTTGTGTCCACTAGTAATTTTCAGATCCTATTAAAATTGTTATGTCTGTCTTTCTTCCGTAGGTGAAGAATTAGAATATGAATTTGATGAACAGGGACACAGTACTTGGCTCTGCAGAGTGAGGTATGTTCTTTTTTTCATTAATAATCATTCCTGGAAAATGACCAATTTCAAGTTTAATTTAATGTTATGGGCTATAGCTGGAGAAATAAGTTAAGTCTTAACTCTAGGGTATTCTTGACTTGGGCCTTGGTATTTCAGGGGAGGAAGGTCAGAAGTAGAAGGAAAAGATACAAAATTTGTCCTGAGCAGGACAGAACAACATGAATCGAGAGATTGAAAAGCCAGATCAAAGAACATGGTTATCACAACACATTAGATGCCTTTGGAGAATTTCCTGTAATTCTCTCCAAACCATGATAGGTTACCTGTGGATGATTCAACTGGAAAACAACTGATGGCTGAGGCCGTTCACTCAGGAAAGAAGAAGGAAGCCATGATCCAGTGCTCCCTAGAAGCTTGTCGAATCCTCGATACTTTGGGATTGCTGCGTCAAGAGGCAGGTCAGTAAATGAGAGTACTTTTTTTCCTCTTAAAAAAAAAAAAGAGAAAGAAATATTTAACATAAAACGTAATAAAATCTCACCTGACCCAAGCCATGGTATTTGCAATAACATCATATGCATGTGAAATTTGGACAGTGAATAAAGAAGACTCTAGAAGAATTGATGCATTTGAGCTATGTAGTTGAAGGAGAATATTAAAAGTACCATGGACTGTCAAAAGAACAAACTAATCTGTTTTGGAAGAAGCACAACCAGAATGCTCCTGAAAAGCCAGGAAGGCCAAACTTGTCTCTCATACATTAGACATATTATCAGGAGGGACCATTCTCGGGATAAGGGTATCATGCTTGTTAAAGTACAGGATCAGCGAAAAAGAGGCATACTCCCAAAGTGAATGGACACAGTAGTAGCAGCAGTGGGCTCAAGCATATCAATGATGTGAGGTTGGTGCATAGTTTTGTTCTGTTGTACATAAGGTTGCTATGAGTTGGTATTGATTCCAGGGCAACTATCAACAACAATAGAATCTGTCCATGTTTTCATGTATTTTTCTGGTTAATTCCTTTCCATTCTTTAGATATTAGTTCAAAGTTCTCATCTTTAATTGCTGTTCTCTTTAAGTGCCGTCTTCATTTTAACCTCTGTTCTAAGTCAGGCTTCTCTGATACTTGCTTTCGTAAAACCATGTTCCTTTTCTATAATGCACTACTAGTGTAATAATTTGATGATCTGTTTTCTCCCTAAAGTTATAAGCTCCAAAAGAACCAAGACTATGTCTATCTACTTTTGTTCACCATTCTATAACCAGAGCAAATTCTGTAATGTAATAGGCACTCACATTCCACAAGTATTTATTGATAACTGTGCACCAACAGATATGAGTTTGTTAAATTCATAAACAAATAACACTCATTTTTAATGGCCATTTGATATTCTGTCCAGTATACATTATCATACCTTACTTAACTAATCCCTATTTGTCACCATTATTAATAATGCCACAATGAGTATCTTTGTGCATATAACATTTTTC